CGACAACATTAGAGGGTTCTACACGCAAAACGGAGCGATCCACGTTTTTCAGCATGGGCCGCACGTGCGGCTGTGAGCCCCGCACGTGCGGCAAGCTCTCCCGCACGTGCGGCAAAATGCCCCGCACGTGCCTTTTAGACAGTGGCCAAGCCCCTGTTTTTCACCATTTCCCGCACGTGCGGCCATGACCCCCGCACGTGCGGCGATTCTGCCCAAAATTGTCCGAAAATTCTTACAAAATCCCAATCTTTTGGTGCATCCTCACAAGGCTCATTTTAACATTTTTAGTTGACAAAACATAGTCTAAAATTCATGTTACAAAGGCTTCAAATACATGCATTAAACTAGATAAACACTAGTTCTTGAATTCTTAACTATAATCAAATTTCCTTTTTGCATCAACATCACATATACCAACACACATATATATAAGGTAAGTTCTTCATGATCTTTCATGAGAAAGTAAGAAATCAAAGCTAATTTCTCCATATACATACATAAGCAACTTAGTTCAAACTCATCCAATGGATAAAACATGATCCAATTACACCTTGGGTTCAATTATCATGGTTGTATCACCCTCAAATTCAAGAGAGGAATTATAAAAGTTAGACAAACTTACCTTGAGTTGAGATCTCCCAAAGTCTCTTTAGGTTATCAAATCTCTAGCCTTTATTGAAACTCCCTTCTCATTTCTCTCTACTCTTACTCTCACTATCCTTTTCCATAAAATGTGTTGAACTAAGTCCAAAGCTCAAAGAACACATATATATCTATAAGAGCTATAAGAGCTAATAAGACAAAAGTCAATCGTTTAAACATCCGAAATTGAAATTTTCCAAAAATGCTTAATATTACCTAAAAATTATGCTAATCACATGTATAAAATCAATTTCAGATAATTAAGCCTTTTCGGCCTCCAATTTCTGATTCAAACCTTCTAGTGTAACAGATACTTTTCTTGTTGAACAGATAGACATCCTTAAACATATGCTTTAAACATGGAGTTCACTTTCTTATCCCTAATTTCTCATGGAATTACACAGTAAGCATCCAAAATCACAAAATAGGATCTGAAAATATAACAAAGAACATGTACGAGGGTCGGGTTATTACATTTATACACTGCAAGCTCTAGCCTCCCACCGTTGTGACCACCACACATGTACATATATAAACCCTCTTTTCCCTCTCTCTATATCTCTCCTTATGGATTATTGTTCTATTTACTAAAACCATGATAGGCCTTTTATTATTGAGGCATGAGTGATCGGTGAAGAAGAATGGATATTGGGTTTGGTGAATGTGTGGTTTATTTGTTGTTACAGTGGCATTTGTGATGGCGATATAGTGATAGGTAAGCGTTGGGGTGGTGGCGATGCTAGGATTTCGCAGAGAAGGTTGCGGGAACCGGGAATTGCAATGGTTGCGGTGATTGTAACTTTGCACCAGAGCTATTGTGAATTTCGCAAAGAAACTTTTCTGTTAATTGAATCAAAAGCAACAATTCTATGCATCTGTGCTAATCTATCTATATGTAAATGTAAGTGTAAATATATTTATATATATAGTAGCAATATACATGTATATATAAGTAATTTGATGTTGAATCCGTGAGATCAATTTGAGAGAGAGAAAATGCATTTGAGAGAGAGGAGAAAGATTCAATGCATGTTAGCGGGAAAAAAAAGGAAGAAGAGATTTATGAGGTTGGGTAGTCGTAGTTTAGCGGGGAAGAGTAATGGAGAGGGAAGAGGTAGTGGGGCCAGATGGGGTATTGGGTGTTTGATTGTGGTGTGAAGTTATGAGATGGGTGTGTTTGGTTACAATGATATCAAGGGCACTTTTGGCATTTAAACAACAAAATTAGTATTGTCATTGTATTTTGTTCGTATATTTAATGGAGACAATATGGGGGTTGCATATTGCATATTGACCAAAACCTCTCATTGGATTCAAAAAGAGTCTCATCTTCACATTTACACTTTTTTCGTCGTCTCATTCAAGACAAAAAGACTTGCTTCTAAAAATTATTTTGATTATGAAGGTTAGAGATATTGCCATGACTTTTAAATAAAAAATTATTGTATTAGAAAATAAAAACTAGTATTAAAAAATAAAAAAATTGTACAAAAATTTATGAAGGGCCCCAATTAGATTTTTCACCTTAGGGGTCTCAAATAAGTTTGAGTCGCCTTTGCCCTTAGGTGTATGTCACGCCATGAAGATTCCCTCAGATTCACAATATTTGAGTATTATAAATTAGTTGGTGTGATGCACCTCTGATTTGAGATTGTGTTTTATGTGTTATGTTCATGTAAATTGGAGCAAATGCTATGTACCATGTTCTTGTAGGGAGAAGACTACAGTAGGGGACATGAAGTCCCAAATTGAAATTGGAATGAAGTTGAGGGAATCCTTGATGTGTGGGTAAAAGAATAGACCACATGGTTGATGAAGGAAAAATTGCTTCCTGAGGTTTGAGAAATGAGCTTGCTAACGTGAATGAGTACTCCTAAGTTCTGCACCTGTAAATCGAGGTTAGTTCCTGCCTGATTGTGTTGTTGACCAGAGGGCACTCTGCTGCTCAACCAAAATGGTCAACAATGCTCTAATGATCAAAACCAAAAATCTCTCTCCCTCTGGCGCTACTGCCCTCTTTTGTGACAATCAAAGTGCTCTTCAAATTGCTCACAATGATGTTTTTCATGATCGCACCAAGCACATTGAGATTGACTGTCATTTTATTCGTCAACACGTTACTCGTGGTACTGTCCATCTCCATCCCATCTCCTCTGCTGATCAACCTGCTGATATCTTCACCAAAGCTCATTCTCCTGGCCGCTTCGTTGACCTTGTCTCCAAACTCCAGTTGGTTGATGTTTGTCCTCCTTGAGTTTGAGGGGGGCTGTTAACATATATTAATATAATGTAACATATATTAATATGTATATATATTATATTAACACACATAGCTATACTAATATATTATATATATATATAGTGGATGCTAGATGCCAAAGCACGCCTTCGCTTTCGGCTGCTTTCGGCCACTTTCTAATATTTTATGTAATGTAATATAATGATGTTGTAAACAATAACTCCTATAAATGGAGTCTCCTCTTACACTGTCAGATACAATATATACAAGAGATTTCTTACAATCTCTTATTTGTTTCAATGAGAATGAGTTAAATTTGAAGAGTTGCGTGTAAATGATGGTGAAATCGTGAAAGTCATTCACACCGACAAAACTATGAGAAAAATTAAATTCAGCACTTCACTAAGCGCACGCTCCAAAATCAGGACCTACTCACTCATGATTCTAAGAGAGAATATTATATATGGGACACCACAATATAATTCAGAATAAAATTTCAGAATTTTGAATGGTCTAAATTTAGGTCTTATTTGTTAAAACTTAAAAAAGTTAAAAAGTCAAAAAGTTACTATTTTATTTAAGTCACATTATGTTATTTAAGTTACATCACTTCTCTATTACATTGTTTCAAACTCAACCCATATTTTATAAAAAATTAAAAAGTATATTTATTTAGATCATTCCAAACCACTCCTTGATTTGTTTATGTTGATAAGCTTCAATTGCATTATGAGAATTTAATAATAAAAAAACAAGCAAATAAATTTTCAATGATTGGAGAATCCATTGAACTTTCCTTCTAAATATTTTCTAAAAATAAAAATTTTCAATTCTGTCTTTTGTAGAAAAAATGTGTTTGATTGCCACACTAAAAATATTGTAATAATGGTAGTATTGGCGGTGGAAAATATTTTCAATACATCTTTTGACCTAAGACATTAATATTATTATAATCATATATCAATTTTAATATCGCAATCAAACATATGTTTTTTACACAAAATAAACTAATTTTGGAAAATATTTAGTCGCAAAGTTCATTGGATTCCCCAATCATTGACAATGCATTTGCCGCGTTTCTTCCTTTTCTTCTCTTTCCTTTTTTTATTTTTATTATTATTTTTTTTAATATTTAATTTTGGTGTGTGGTGAATTCCTTTCTATTCTATATATCAATTTAAATTGTCTCTCACCTTTTTATTGTAATTAAAATTTTAAATTATAATATGTTCTTCCGTATATATATTCTCTCTCATCTTCTCTTAGAATCAGGAGTAAGTCGCATTATTTTTAAAATTGAACTAAGATTCTCTAAAATAATATTTGGCGGAACCTATTCCATCACTGAAACTCTCAAATGGACTTCATTACACTGCAAAAATATACACACAGCATTTTCACAATTTTGCTAGCTACTCCTCTGTTTCAATATCCAAACATCTTTAAACATCAAACAAAAGCATCATCTTCTAAGATTTATCGTTTTCGTAGTCCTCACTCACTCCTTCAATCTGCAGAAACACACACATGATATCAGAGTTATAAGGAATTATGTTCCTTCCAATTCACCAAATCATCAAAACCAAACTTTTAAACTTGAGTTTTGTGGTTTGTTAACAAAACCTCACCTTCAGGTCATTTTGGTGTAAAAATGCAAGACCCGTCAATTACAGTGCAATGCTAGTAGTGTGCTGGACCAATTAAGACCAATACATGCCATGAATTTTGATTTTGTATAATCATGTTATCACCTTCTGAAACCATGTTTTGACAATTTTACCAGAAACTGAACAGCAAGATATAAAAATGGTTTCAGTTCTTTCACAATGGTTGATAATGAAGGTGGTATGACTATTGTAGTGTGGAGGGGGAAGAGCGAGCCGGTGGTGGGGAAGGTGGCTGGGGTGGAGGGGGATGGTAGAGGAGCAAGGAAGAGGTGGTTGGGTGTTGGAGTGAGGTGGCACTGACGTGGGATTAGGGTTAGAAACTTTATGTTAGGATTTCAAAATGGGGAAAAAGATGGACAAATGTCTTTTTGCTTCAGAATCACAAAAAATAAAAATAAAGAACAAAAAGAATATATCAAAGCCAAAGTCTGGTTCACCATCAGACCACCAAGGACATAAAGAAACTCCACAATTAAATAAGACTACAACCAAGTCTACAAGTTCAGAACTGGTCAAATAGGACCACAACTACAGCCTCCAAGTTTAGGAAACATGAAAATTCAAAGCCATTACAATATTTAATTTTTTTTTAAATGAAAAGCACAACTCAACAAAAGGACCTCCAATTGGTGCTCTTTCAACACTCTCTGTCTCAGAGCTTGCTTCACAGGTCTTGCACGCTCAAACCTGCAAAATTATGGCCACATAAATAAAGATAATCATTTAGAAAGGGAATTAATTAAACTATATTTAAATTTATTCTATATGTTCCAGTGGACCAGTAGCAAAAACAGAAAGAATATATGATGAGGCATGAGGCAAAGAATGTATGACTGGCAATGAAGATGCCTCACAATTGCAAGGAAAAATACCACGACACGGTTTAGGCTTCAAATATTTTTGGCGAAGTAGACATTTTTGTCTGGAAACAACTTTTTTGTCAAACGGTCAACATAACATTTTTTTTATTCAACTCTTTCGTCTCAAGTGAAATTGTATAATTTTTCCTTGATTTTTGTCAATCGGTAAAAAAAAATCAAAAATATCATGACATTTACTTCAAATTGCATATTCAACTCCTTATATGTATGGCAAAATAAAAGGGGGCAAATTCACTTTACCCCCCTTTGTGATTTGGTCCATGTGCAAATGACGCCCTTTATAATTTGGAGACAAAACAGTTCACCCCTATGGTTTGTGAACCAAAGTGTAACTGTAAGTTTTTCCATCCAAAGCCATTTTTAAGACAAAAAATACCCCTTATAAATTTCAAATTTACAAAAAAATAGCCATTCTTCTTTCCCTCTACTATTTCTCCCCACTCGGCTGCCATGACACCAAACCCACCCCTCTCCCTTACACACAACCACCATATGCATAATTGATGGACTTTCAAAATAAAAATCAGAATTGATTGATAGCCTTGTGTAGAAAATTTTATTGGTATTGATGTGAAATTAGTGAAGCTGGTAGGATTTGCTTTAGTTTGAAACAAGAAAGAAACAAATGGAGAAAAACTATCAATGGCAAACCCCATGAACATCATTGTGGGAGCCGAATAATCTTTATATGTAGGAAAGCCAAATGAATTTGAAGACAATCAGGATATAAACTATTCGGCTCCGTCCTGGGGGATCTTGAAGCCGAATAACTAAATCGGCCATAGAATCAGTCGTACAAGAAGCCAAGTGTGAATAGACACACGACAGAATGGCCGAGTGAGCAATTATCCGTTGGAATAAAAGTGGGCCCAACCCCTGAGATCAGGGACGAGTATAAATGAGAGGAGCATCAACCAAAGAGAGATATGTGAGAACAGATTAAAGAAACTTAAGACACAAGCAAACGAGAGAATATATACTAACTTGTCCGTCCGAGTGCTAATTCCGACACCCCCGACCGGAATGTTAATCCCCTTTTCAGGTGGCAATCAGAGGATCAGGAACGTCCTTCAGGATCCAAAAGTATTTCCAAACCATTTCTCCACAATTGGCGCCATCTGTGGGAATACTCAAGCAAATCCATGGCGGGCGTCACAAAAGATCCTCTGATAGTCACTGACGAAACTACGCCAAGAGACAACTTCACTCCAAGAAACGTGCTTGGACAGGAGAATATCGCCGCATGATGGGCCTTGAACTTCGATTCAATAGCTCAGACCTCACCCTCAACTTCAATGCACGAGACAGTGCAGACGATTATAGATCAAGCAAAGCAAAATGAACAGCGGTTGGAGAACATGATGGTTGAGAACGAGCGCCTGCGCCAGGATTTGGCCTTGGAGGTGGCGAAATCCCAACAAGCCGCATGCCAAGACTGGGGTTGACCTTCGGGAAAGAGGGATGGTCGACGACGTCGACTTCGGAAACACAATAATGATAGTGATTCTGACTCACCATCCCCGAAACCCAGAAAGAAAGGACAAGTTAATGTATCCAGCTCATCTGAAGGAAGTCCGTATGTACAGCATAAACCAGGGAGGAGCGATGACTCGGATGAGGAAGATAAACATGACCCCTTTGTGCGACGAATTGCAAGGGTTGTGCTACCCAAAAAGTTTAAAGCACCGTCGTTCACCCTCTACGACGGAAAATCGGATCCCACTGATCACATTCGTCATTATAAGCAAGCAATGACACTTCATGCTGACGATGAAGCTCTCATGTGTCGAATATTTCCAAGCAGTCTGGGACCACTGGCCGTCAGGTGGTATTATAAACTAGAGCCGGCATCGATTAAGAGCTTCTATCAACTCCAAAAGTCCTTCAGGGCAAGATTCATCACTAATGAGATCCAGCCAAAGCAAGCCGATTTCCTCTGGGCGATGCAAATTAAATCAGGTGAAACCCTTCGTGAATATTCAGCACGCTATTGGGAATGCTTTAATCTGGTAAATGATGCTTGCAATGACTCCATGGCCATTACCGCCTTCAAGATGGGATTGCATCCTGATAGTCCCCTCCGCAGTTCATTGACCAGACGGCCCCCCAAAACAATCTGAGCGTTAATGAAGAAGGTCGAAGAGTATTGCAAAGTGAAAGACGATGCCCTGCGGGTCAAATCCGGGCATAAAGCCGTTGAGACGGCCCCGCCGGGAATCGTTCAGCCGATTAGCGTCGTGCCATGAAGAAGTCTCGAGCCGCAGAATCAGGCTAAACGAAACAAAAGGCATGACTTGCGTCGATCAATTGATCAATGTTCACATTGAGCTAATGAACAGTATCAAGTGGATAGCAAGCGCACAAGGCGCTCAGACAAGAAATACACAGAGTTAACAAAGCCGATCAGTAAGATTTTGTCGAAAATTCAACACCTTCCGTTCTTCAAGTGGCCGCCCAAGACGATGGGACCTCCCGATACGAAGAGATGGGATAAACGGTGTGAGTATCATAAAGACCATGGTAACGACACCGACAATTGTTATGCACTAAAGGATCACCTGGAAGAGTTGGTGCAAGACGGCTGGCTTACACAATACGTCCGGAAAAACGATTCATCAAACACAGTAGCTCTACGGCCAGATTCACCTCCACTTAGTGTAATTCATATGATATACAACTTGCCGACGTCATCCAAGGTGCATACAATTCAGTTGTAGTCCAGTCCCTATAGGCTAATCACGCCAGCGAAACAGCTCCATGAAACTGGGAGGATTAGTTTCGATGACACTGACTTAGTTGGAATAACTCACCCCCACACTGATCCCCTCGTCATCGAGCTACGCATAAACAGATTCACCATTGAGCGTGTTCTCATTGACGAGGGAAGCACTTCGGAAATAATGTATTACAAAACTTTTGTTAAACTTGGCTTCACTGACTTGGATCTGTCTCCAGCTGATTATCCATTATTTGGCTTCAATGCTAACCCGGAGTATCCTTTAGGCAAAATCACACTACCAGTTCAGGCGGGCACCAGATCAGTAGATGTAGAATTTTTGATTGTCAAGCTTCCTTCGCCATATAATCTCATCATGGGAAGAACTTGGTTGCATACCATGCAAGCCGTGCCAAGCACCTACCATCAACTACTTCGTTTTCCGACTGAGTACGGTATCGAACAAATTCGAGGTTCTCAGAAATCGGTACAGGTATGTTATCTTCTTGCTACAAAGAGACCAAGGGAGCTGGAAGTGCATTCAATTGAGGTACCAGATAGGGAGAGCCTCGAAGACATTGGGAATAACCCAAGTGAAAAGGCAACCGAAGCCCTGGATCGGGTCGAAATTGGCTAGAATCCTGACAAGCTCTTCATGATCGGCGCTTCCCTGGATGAAGTTGAAAGGCAAGAGTTTGTATCCTTCTTACTCGGCAACATCGGTGTGTTTGCATGGTCACTATACGAGATGCCAGGAGTGGATCCATTTGTGGCCCAGCATCGCTTAAACGTTGATTCGAAATGTAAGCCAATTATTCAGAGAAGTCGGCGGTTAGCCACAGAGCATACTTCGGCCGTTGTTGAAGAAGTTGATCAATTACTTGATGCCGGGGCAATTCGTGAAGTAACTTATCCTACATGGTTGTCCAATACTGTGGTTGTAAAGAAGAGGAATGGCTCTTGGCATGTTTGTGTGGATTTCACGGACTTAAACAAAGCTTGTCCCAAGAGCTGTTTTCCTTTGCCCAGAATAGACCAACTCGTAGATGCAACGGCACATCATCAACGCATGAGCTTCTTGAATGCCTACAGGGGCTACCATCAAACCGCTATGCATCCAGAGAGGATCAAGAAAAAACCGCATTCCTCACCCCAAGAGAAACCTATTGCTACAAGGTCATGCCTTTCGGGCTGAAGAATGCGGGGGTAACTTACCAAAGACTAGTGACTTCCATGTTCAAGGAACAACTCAGCCGTATCATGGAAGTATACATCGACGATATGGTGGTCAAATCCAAGGAAAAACACGCCCATCTAGCCGATTTGTCAGAGACATTCGACATTCTTCGAAAGCACAAAATGAAACTGAACGCCTCGAAGTGCGCATTCTGCATCGGATTCGGCAAATTCCTTAGCTACATCGTTAACCACTGCAGAATCGAAGCCAACCCGAGGCAAATCACGGTAATTCTACAGCTTGGCTCCCCTCGATCAATTAAAGAGGTTCAGAAGTTGATGGGAATGGCCGTCGCGCTCAACAAGTTTATTAGCTGTTCCACAAATCGCTGCCGACAATTTTTTCACACACTTCGGCAAGGTAGAACTTTTGAATGGACCCCCGAGTGCAGGCTGCTTGGACGGCCTGAAGACTTATCTCTGATCAGTACCACTCTTGGCAACACCTGCGGCAGGCGATTCGCTCATTTTGTATCTGGTGGTATCCGATTGGGCGGTTAGCGCCGAATTGTTAAAGGAAGCACTTGAGGAATAGCGACCAGTTTACTATGTGAGCAAAGCAATGGCCGACGCCGAAACACGTTACCTTCCATTGGAAAAGCTTATCCTTGCTCTCGTTATGGCTGCAAGAAAACTGATGCATTACTTTCAGGGGCATACTATTGGGGTCCTAACAGACTATCCCCTCAGGTCAGCGCTCCGCAGCGCGGAAGCATCGGGGCGTGTTTCGAAATGGGCTCTAAAACTCGGCCAGTATGATATCTAATTTCTAACCAGAACTTCCATCAAGGGGCAAGTGCTCGCCGACCCTGTAGCCGAATTCACGGGATCTCTTGCCGACTTTAAGTCTGATC